TCACAGTACATGCAGTTGTGTGTGTATCGACACACAAATCTTTCCAGCACAATATATTATTTGTATTTTGAGTGGCTTGGTCCTGAGAGGGCAACTCAGAATCATTAACTTTATAAAAGATGTATAAAACTTTATAAAATACAAATTGCCAGTTCTGTTCCCAATCCTGAAAAGAGCACAGGGCAAATTAGGCATCTTTGTGGATTTTTATAAAGTACATTGTTGGAATGTTAGGTTCTAACTGCTTGGATAGACTGCTCTTGTATATCATAAGCTGTCCTTTAAAATACCAACTGACAACTTATTCAGTAATATCAGTCATCTTCTCACATACCAGTAGCATGAAATGGTAGAATGTGCTGTCCCAATTAGGCAGAAACAGTTCCAATTAATCCTCTGCCAGCTCACTTTTTCAACTGCTTTTAAAATGTCCCAGTTTCTCTCTCTTCTTCCCATTCTCTCTTTTTGTCATCAGCTTGCTTCAATTGCTGTAAACTCGAGTTCAAAGACAAATGTAGAGAGAAGAAGACAGCTAGAATCATGTCCTTTCCAACAGGCTCAGGCAAAAGCAAACTGCTGCAACCTCTCTTAGCTCATGTGCAATTAATAATGTTTAAAAACATTAATAACATTTACCATCTTGATCATACTCCAGTGTTGCTTGGCCATGTGTCCCGATTTTCATCTGCGAAATGTTGGACGATATGGCATTGCTGTACTGTTTTAGGCTTCAGATACAAAGCGAAAGATGCCAATAAATATCCCCCTCCTTAGCCTGCTAAGGAGCCTCACCAAGTTGCTGGGGACATTGGTATCTAGCTGGAAATTAGTATTCCATATTGGAGGAGGAGGGAAAGGGGATGGGATGTTCAAGTGAAGTTATTTAATAGCTGCCATCTATGATCTTTCCCCATTTGGCACACCTAACCAGACTGTGCCCAAACCGGGGGGCCTGTCGTCATCCCATCTTCATCTCTGTACTGATTTCCAGCTTTCTACGTGCTGATAAATAATATAATTTTCATAAAGGCACTTGCACAAAACTCTTTAGTGGCTTTGCATTTCAACACTTGCTCTAAATGGAATGTAGACTGGAGCAGGCAGAATGGAGCAAAGCAGCAACACCCAAGATAAAATCATATATTTTCTTCAGAGCGAGAGAAGTTTGGGGTCTTTCCAAATACAAATCACCACTGCTGAGGCACTCTGAAGGCAGTCTATTAAAACTTATTCTTCTCACTACAGCTGGCAAACCATGCCTCAGAGGTCTTAAGGAGATGCCGTCTTATGAGCAGTTACAGGGTCAGAGCTTGGGAGTAACTAGTTGCAAAAATACATTACCTGCAATCAATTCCTTTCCAAAACAAAGGTATAACATAATGACAGGATTGTAATGAAGGACGACAATGGTCCTTTTCAGTATGGGTTTGACAGTAACCTCTAAAAGTTGTTTTTATCATTATAGGGAGGATGTGTCTTCACTACACGGTGGAAGAAGCATATTACATGGTCCACATGATGGGTCGTGATGTACCTCATTTTCTGTTGAGGTGACAAAAGGAGAACATGTGTTGCATTACAGGCCATCAGCATTCAGATTTTCTAATGGAACTAAAAGTTCAGACCAGACTCGGGCTTTGGGCCTTGTGTCATCTGGACTTCCCACCTAGAAGATTGGGGGAAGCCATTGTACTTGGCCTATGCAGTCTGGGCCTGAGTCCAGAAAAAGAGGTGACAGATTTCATTCAGCATTAATATGGTTGAATACTAGATACTGGATGATTCAAAGCCAGACTCCAAAAAATATGTAGTCCAAGTCCTGGGCCTAGAACACGTCTATCAATATAATTTTCTTCCACAAAGATGAAGGAATTTGTGAAATTTTAAGCATTCTTCTTAAAAGATAAATTCTTACCTATTCCAATGATGTCACTGACGCATGCCCTCCAACATTTCACAGATGAAAACCAGGACCTGTATGGCCATGCAACATCAGAGTATGGTCCATCTGGCATGAGCTATTAACAAGAAAGATCAGACAAACTAGGAGAGGCTGCAGCAATTTGCTTTTGCCTGAGCCTACTGGGAAGGGAAAGATTTTGTGATGAATCTGTAGAGGATCCTCCAACTTTATACTAATATTATGTATTAATAACTTATTATTAATTTGTTAATAAGAGCCCTGGTGGTGCTGTGGTTGAATGCCTGTACTGCAGCCACTCACTCACAAACCATAAGGTTGCGAGTTCAATCCCAGCCAAGGGCTCAAGCTTGAACCAGGCTTGCATCCTTCTGTAGGTTACTAAAATGTGTACCCAGCTTGTTGGAGGCAATTAGCTTACACATTGTAAACCACTTAGGAAGTGCTTAAGTGCACTGATAAGCAGTATAGAAATGTACTTGCTATTGCTATTGCTATGTACAAAATATTTTAAATCATCCTCTTTTAGTCTTCTTATTTATATCTTTTCCCTATTTGGTCTGACCAAACCATAGTTACTTTTAATATTGATTAATCATATCAATTTTAAAATAAAGGAGTTTTTTAAAAAAATGCATGAAGAAACACCTTTCTTAGTTCACTTGCAAATCTCTGTTATTGCTGTTCGTTTTCCAAGAAATAACCATTGCACAGGCAGACAGGTAGCTGATATACACTGAAATCTTTGGAAATAGCCCTTACATGTTCAGAATGCTTTTTTAAAAAGCTTTCTTGCCTTCTAAGGAGGTTCATACCAACTTGGCAGCACACTCCCATTTCTTCAGAAGCTTCTGTTTAGCACTGTTTAGACTGTCATCTTTTTTCATGCCTTGTCAAAGAGCACAGGGGCTGAAAACAGATCCAGGAGCTCCTAGAGCATGTTAAAAATGAGTGCATGCCACCTTCAGCTGGTAATGCCATTCCTTTTAATTAATATGACTAAGAATAAGATGCATTAATATTCTCTTTTGCAACAATCCGTGACTTCATCTTGGTGGAATTCCTAAATTGCCTTCAGGACCCCGTCTTCAGCAGAGCTCCCATATATTTTTATGAATGCTGAATTGGTGCATTATATCCATATGCTTTTCCTGGAAGCCTGACGAGCACAGGTTCTCTTTCATGCACACTCGGAAATGGTCGGTGCAAGCGGTGCATGTTAGCTTTATACTCTACACATGTAAAAGTCAAGCCATAATTTACATTGATTACTTAATGAGGCAATCTGTCTCCTTCCAGCATGGCCTTTCAGCTCAAGCCAGTCACACCTGCATAGAAGCAGAATCACATCTGGCGCATAAATCGTGCACTCAGGAGAGGTACCCACTCTGCCTCACAGGGAATAGACCTTTCCACAGCCCATATTGTACAACTGTGCAAGCTTGACTGCAGGCACCTGCCTTTGACTAGGCCAAAGGAGTGCACAAAATACATAACTATTTCCCAACAGACCTCCAAGGAAGCCAGGGATGGGGGGGGAGAGAGACTAGGAAGAGGAAGTGCACCATATTTCTCTAGATGGCTTCACATTCTCAAAGCTTGGAAAGGTAACTATTTTGGACTTCAGTTCCCAATGGCCATGCTAACTAGGTGATCCTGAGAACTATAGTCCAAAAAAGTAATGTGTATAAGCTCTGCACATTTTATTGCTGAACTCAGGGGTTCAGACTTTCATAAGGGGATCTTAGATTTGCAGAGGGGTAACCAGGAGAACACACTCTTAGGGCTTCCTTCAGCATTTCTGCTCTTCATGCTGTCAGTAGACCATAGGGTATATGTATGGAATACCAGCATAATAAATGTATTTAATTCATCAGAGAGCCAAGGTAGTGTAGTGTATAGTCTTGAATTAAGACTCCCAGAGACCAGGATTCAAACCCCTGCTCAGATATAGAAACCCAAGGAGGGTATTTTTTGTTTCCTGGTCTCACCCCATCCTCATGGTGACCTCTCTTCATGATACAGGGCCAAATCCGCAGTTCAAATGAGGACTGTCTTCATGACATAAGGCCAGTTCTGTACCAAATCCATCCTATCCCTCCATTAAACCAGTGTAAAATAACTTACCTTTTATTCCAGATTTTGCAGGAAAATCTGGAGCACTCTGGAGCAACACCAGGTGATGCAGGGATGCTTACACATACTCTCTTGGACATCTCATTTCTGACCCCAGAAGGAGGGAGTTGTGCAAGCAGTGGCAATGCCTGACAACACAATAAGACTCATGTGTAGACAGTCACCCAGCATTGTTATGGAGTGTAGACATAATGGTGGGAATCCAGGGCAGAATACTCTGGGAGCAGCCTGCAGTATTCTGGCCAGAATAGATGAGCCCTGAATGATCTTGTGCAAGTCACACACTCTCAACCTTAGAGGAAATCAACAGCCCTCCTCTGAATAAATCTTGCCAAGACAACCCTAAAAGATGTTTGCTATAAGTCAGAGTCAGCTTGAAGGCACATAAAAACAACATGGTTTGGGGAGAAATAAGAATCATCCAGCCTTGTTGGATTGCAACTTCTAGTAGCCCTAGCTAGTATAGCCACTGATGAGAAATGCTGGGAGATGCAGTTCAACAAAATCTGGAGGACCACATGATTGTCATATTTTAGGATGCAGTATTTCATGTTTCATTTAGGTTGCTTCATTAATAACCCTGAATACCAGTCCCCTAGGCAGCTAACCCTATGTTAACAGATTGTAAGAGAAATAGCAATAGCAAGTACATTTCTATGCTGCTTATCAGTGCACTTAAGCACTCCCTAAGTCAGGGGTAGGCAACCTTTCCCCTTTAAGGGCCGAGGGACTTCAGCTCCCAGAATCCCAGGAGCTATTGGCCAACATGGGACTATTGGCCAACATGGCTGAGGCTTCTGGGAGCTGAAGTCCCTCGGCCCTTAAAGGGGAAAGGTTGCCTACCCCTGCCCTAAGTGGTTAACAACTGTAAGCTAATTGCCCACAACAAGCTGGGTACTCATTTTAGCAATCTCAGAAGGATGCCAGGCTGAGTCGAGCCTGAGCCCCTGGCTGGTATTGAACTCACAACCTTATGGTTTGTGAACGAGTGACTACAGTAAAGGCATTAACCACTATGCCACCAGGGGTCTCCCACCAGGGATAGCTGTTTAATAGTATCTAGAAAGCAGGTGTTATTTATAAGTTGGACCTAAACTTATAAATAAACTTTGGACCTAAATCAATGTTGTCAAAGATGCACACACATAATTCAAAGAACAATATTTTGTTCAAATAATTAGTGCAACATCTAATACTTAAATATAGGGCTTGCTTGAATGAATTCTTTTTTTATTTTGTTTCAATAAACCTATAAATTATCACCAGAAATTTGCTTGGTAGCAAATTCACTTTCTGTGGAGATTATAATGAGTTAATTTTTCTTGTCTTGTGACAGATGATCTTTTGTCAGTTTAGTAGTCAACTAAAGATAGACCTGGTTGAGGCAACCAACATGAAAAGTAACAGTCCATTTGCTATTTCTATCCATTACATTTATATCCTGGTTTTTTCTCTCCACATTGCTCAAAACAGTATTTGTTGTCCTCTTCTGCCCCTTCCCCGCATTAAACATTGTTACTTTTCCCTATTTATGGTTCTCAGCCCAAATATAATTGCAATTTTCCTGCAGAGAATTCTGGGGAAAGGTTTCCTATTTGACTCTGCAAAGTTTACACTGTAAAACCACCATCTTGAAGGTTTAGAGAGAATAATTGGATAGGCATTATTGTATATACAATAAACCTGACTGGGTCAAAGCTCTTTCAAAAACCTTGCCATTTACTGGGGAAACCCACGACAACAACTTTCTGAACATTATTGAGAGAACAAAGTTGGGAAAAACATCAGTTAGAGGGAGAAAAACAAGGACCATTTAACCAGAGTTTGGAAATGTCACTCAGAAGCTGTATCCTCATCTGTTCACTCCATTTCTCTCAGTATACCCTTCTCATGCCAGAAGAAACATGGGGAGTATAAATAAAAAGAATAAATGTGTGTGTTACCTGGGTTGGGCAGAAACAAAACAATTGCATTGCTGATTAATAACATATTATCTTAACTATTTGGGGCGCAGGGTATGTTCTTTCCTTATATATGAAGTAGCAGAAAAATGTGAGTTTCTTCCCTTCCATTTCATACCCTCCCATATGTCACAAATGAATAGCAAGACATCAGCAATATCAGCAACATCAGTGTGGTCACGATAGCAAATGTTATTGATGAGAAATAACACACAAGCTAGGAGAAGCTACAGCAGTTTGCTTTTGCTTGAGTCTACTGGAAAAGGCAACATTCTGCCCACTCTTCTGCTCTGTCCTCTCCTGGGTTAATTGAGTGCAAACTATTTTGGCACTTTGAACTCAGTTTGCAGCAACTGAAATAAGCGATGACAAAGGAGGAAAGTGGGAGGAGGACAGAGATATTGGAACATTTTAAAAGCTGAAGAAAATGGGATGACAAAGAATTAATTAGGACTATCCCTGCCAAACTGGAATAGTTGGAGGATATGCTCTTTTAAAATCTTTAAGCGATCCTGCACAATAAGCACAGCAGGAATTTATTACTTCCTACAATTTGATATACAAGCCATGACCAACTGCCAACCACATTTTCTGGAATAGCTAAGTGATGCAGTAGCCACTCATGAGAAGTACTGACATTGGCCATGTTGGTTGCGAGATACTGGGAGTTTAAGATAAGTATCTTTTGCAAGCATCCACCACACTGTGCTAAATGGAACAAAAGTCTGATTCCATTTCAGCTTCTTTTTATTAACATGAAAATCTGGCAATCTATTAATAAAGCAAACGAAGTTGGGGAGGGAGAATCTCTATGAGATAAGGGAAGGGAAGCTGTCAAAAACTATATCAACATTTAATTAACAAAAAGTCCTAAGCATGACATCTGTCACTAAATAAATAGCAGAAATGCAGGAATAGTCAGTAATACATGAGTGTGGGGTGTGCATATGGAATTAAAATTCCCATGTGTCAGCCCAATCAAAGTTCTAACTTCATTATAGGATGGTATTTGATGCCCCGAAGGCTTAAAAACATTAAAGGAATGCTTCTTCTAATTGCTGACAATATGGAATCTAAAAAGCAAGCCAGATGTACCGTATATATGGTGGAATTAGCTTTGCATTTAGCGGTCAAATACCTGAACAAAAATGAGAATAAATTGATTTTCAGATCCTACAGTTGCTGCACTGGGACATTGTAAGTTTTGCACCAAACAGGAAACTGCAATTCTATTTCTGTGAAAACAGCTACTAGAATCTCACTTTACAAATTGTGGATGGCAATGTGTCTGTATGCATGTGTGGTGCTTCAAGTTGTCTGTCGACTTATGGCAACCCCATTAATTTGAGAGGGTTTTCATAGGCAAGGAATACTCAAGAGATGGTTTTCCCAGTTCCTTCCTCTGAAATATAGCCTGCAATACCTGGTATTTGTTGGAGGTCTCCCATCCAAGTACTAAGCAGACCTGACCCTGTTAGCTTCCAAGATCAGATGGGATCTGGTGCCTTTTAAATTATGGGGAACACAAATGGGCAAATGAGTTAGCAAAAAATTTCAAATACCTTTAGATTTGGAAAAAGTGAGATGTTCATGAAACTGACAGATTCATCCTTCCAGGCTCAGGGCTTTCACTGCTTAGCTTCTAAAAGTCTGTGTGTATTCAACTATGTTGGTGCTGAACTAGGGTTACTGCCTCATTTTTCTGACAGCCGTCATTTCTAACACAGAGATGCGATGTGGTCTTCCTTGTGCTAGAAGAGCTATACCTTTTGGATTTGGCTGGGTGAGAATTTTGCTTTGGTTGATTCATTACAAATTTCATCTTCTTAAGTGAAAAGGGTATCAATGCAGGGAGAAAGAGGAACTGTTAAGTTTGTGTCTTCCTGCATACCCTACCACACACTGTCCTGAACACATTTTGATTTTTGAAAGTAAGTAGGCCCAGGCCTGCTTAGCACTTGTATGGAAAACCACCAAGGAATCCTAGGGATTTCCATGTAAGGCTGGGAAACAGTCTTGCCTGAACCACTGGAGAGCCTTTGCTCAAGAGCTGACAATAATGGACTAGATGGGCCAATAGTCTAAGCCACATTGCAGGAAAAAAGCAGTTTGATACCACTTTAATTGCCACTACTTAATGCTATGGAATTCTGGGCTTGCAGTTTTGTGTGAAATATAGCCTTTCCTGATGTCCCACCAAACTACAAATCCCAGAATTCCAAAGCATTGCGCCAGGAAAGTTAAACTACTTTATTGCTGCAGTGTGAGAGCAGCCTTGTTTTGTATAAGGCAGCTTCTTATGATCCCTGCTGCTAATTTCTGGGACTGCTGAGAATATTGCTGCCATCAACAATATGTTTGCCACCAGCTTTGTCCTCCCCAGAAGTCACTGAAATAACACCATTGTCCAGGTTTGGAAGAATGTTCATTACATTTATGTTCTGCATTTCCTCAAGTTCAAGATGGCCAACTTGGCTCTTCTCCTCCCTACTTTGGCTAGCATCCTGTTGGTGTTTTATGCAGGTGTAAATTATCTTACACACATGGTTGTACTTCTTTAGCAACTGAATACATCCATATTCATTTAAATGTTACGAAAGCAGATTTGTGTGTGTGGTGCTATTTCACATTGTTCCTCAATGTAGGTTGTATATGGCTGGGCACTGACTCCATGTTTACACACATAATTGCACATTGCCCATCAATGTGCAATGCACATTTGGTTTTGTAAAGTCACAATTCTGTAACAGGATGTCATGTCACAAGTGAGGCATTACTCCATGAAAATAAAGTTATAATTTGCCTCTTCATTGCCAGATCTCGGCCTTGATCTTCACATCAACCTTGAGAGATAGAAGAAGATGAAAAAGGGTGAGTGACCCAAAGTCATGCAGTGAGCTAAGGGCTCAGTGGGGACTTCCAACCATTTCTCCTACATCCTGGCCTAACAGTTTGACCCAATATTGGGGAGCCTTTAGCCCTCCAATTGGCTAAAACCCATCAGCCCCACCCAGCATGAGTAGTGTGGACAAAGGTGAGGGATCTAAAATATCTAGAGGGCTAAAAGTTCCTCACTTTTTGTCTAACATCTATACCAAAATGCTTCTGTGTCCTCTTTTCAGGGATCTAAGAGTCTGTCCTATCCAGAAGGACTTCCATGTGGGACAAATATCACACTTCTTTCTCTCTTCGTATTACAGGCCTCCACAACAAAATTTACACACTAGAAACAGTTCAGAGTTCAATACATTTTCTTTCTTTCCAGCCGTTCTCAGAATGTAAAACTGTGAGGACCATGCAGGTGACAGGATGTGGCTGCTTTGACTACATTCACTCTGTTGGGTCATAGACTGCCCGTCTTCTGTTACAATTTGCTGCATTTTACACTTAGCCTTCCTCAAACAGTGTTTCATAATATTCCAAAGCTGTGCTGATCACTAAAAAAATATATGCTGTGCTTATTATTTTTTTTAAAAGTCTAAGTAATAAAGGATGATATTCTTTTCATTAGGTCCAAGCTTTGAATACATCTACAAGGGCATAGGTATCATGAAATCCATGAACCTCCCATGCTATAAATCTAGCAATCTATAGACTTTCAGCCAGGACTTGGAATAGGTACTTTGGGCTTGTCTACACAGGTGAAAAATGCTGTACTCATCCCAAAATGGGTGCTGGCAGTCTTGATGACATACAGTGATTTCTGAGGAGCATCCATGTTTTTCTGCCTTAAACCCAACTTTACTCTGAACTAAGCAAATTCAGGGTAAATCCTGGTGTTTCCCAAAAACCCGAGTGACCTTGAGTTCTCTTGCTGTGTGGATGGCTGGATTGGGTCCTATTCAGCTCCATCCAGTTGCACCATCCCCCTTCCCCATATTGAGCAGCACAGGGAAAGGGAATGGACTGTTTTCGGAGCCACCGCCACCTCTTCCTTTCGGGTGGGAACTCTAGGCAATGTCTGCCTGGTTCTGCTTCTGCTGAGGTTAGAAATGTCCACCTAGATATGAACTCCTGCCCACAAGGAAGTGGTGGTGGCGGCAACTCCAAAAACAAGGGACAAGCCA